GAGACAGTCCCCGCCTCGTCCCCCGTGAGCCCCAGTGGCTGCAGGCACTGGGATGGAAACCGCGCTGCCCTCAGCCCCCTCCTTCGCACTGCCCTGAGCTGCCCTGGCCAGCACCCAGCGCCTAACAGCAGCCATCAAATCATCCCACCATCCCCCAAACGCTCGGTCCTTTCCCAGTGCTCACCAGGAAAGAGATGTCACCAGCCAGCTGAGGAGAGCAGCAGGACTGGAGAGCCCAGCCATGCCCACGGCTGGGTGGGCAGGAGATCTCACCCCCTGCAGCCCACCTCTTGCCCGCTGCTTCCTCCAGCACTGCTGCGCCATAAAGCTCTTTGCAACGGGACAGTCTCTTTCTGCATGCCCTGCCAGACACCAGCGTGCGCTGCTGGTCCGTACCCATCCCCCGGGCAGCAGCATGGGGAAGCTCAGCTGAACACCACAACTTCGCTGTGCCGGGCCAGAGCCAGCAATAAAAGTTCTGCCACTGGCCCACGGCACTGGGCTCAGCTTTCAAAACACGCTGAATTATTAGCAGAATTATTAGCAGAAGACTAGAGAAATAAGCAGGAGTTTTGCTCTCACCACATGAATTAATATTATACAAATATTTACCCTGCCACGGCTGTGACCAGCAGCAGAAGCACAGCTTGGCACCCTCTCCAGAGAGATGGTTCTTAGGGGGATTAAGTGCGATTTTGACAGCACATGGTTTTGCTGTTTGATCCAAAATATGCCCTGGAAAGATGCTTGGTCCCAAGGTCCAGCTCAGCCTCGTCATCTCCTAATCATTCTATTTCTGCTGTTAGCAGACCTCCTTGGGCTGGCTGGGACTTGGGAAGAGACTTCTTTGGGTCAGTGCGGGGAAAGGCGCCTCTTGCGTGAGGCAGAAGTGATTTGCGGCGAGGCCTGATTTGACAGGGGCGATCCGTGCTCTGCACGAGGGCTCAATGGCCGCGCTCCCCTGGTCTTCGAGCCCATGCTTTCTGCGATTCCCAAAAACCCGATGCCCAGACCATTTCAGGGAATGCCCGGCCATGGTGCCCTGCACGCTGGGGTGGACTCAGCTGAGCCAATTGGTGCAGCCACTAAACCTCCGGCTTCCTCCTCGGCAAGAAGGAAACCCACGGAGACTGGTCCTGCTCCTGCCACCCCCTGCTGAAAGCCCCAACCCAGCGCTGCTCCAGCCCAGGAGCTGCTGATCTCAGGCAGCAGAGCCGAGGAGGTTAGCCCTGGGGTGAGACCGCAGCCAGCCTGGCATGAAAGCCGTGCACCGATCTGATCACCACACGCCCCGTCACCGGCTGCCCTTATTCCCTCGTCCTTCTGCCACCACTCCTGCCAAGATGATCTCCCTGCCTCCTGCACCACTGGGCTTATGCCTTCCCCATCTGAGAGTCAGACCCAAGGGGCCACGGGGCTGGCTTAAAAAGTTCATAAGTTAGTAAAGAAAATAGTTTAGTTTTAAAGAGAAAGAGCAAAGACCCACAGTCATCAGAAAAATAAACCGCCACGTGTTTCCTCTTTGGTAAAAAACAGATGAGCAACTCCATCCTGGCGCTGCTTCCTGACCATGCTGGGGAGGGTGGGAAAAGCCAAAGGGACGTCGCAGTGCTGCCAGGGCAGGTGGGCCCCGTCCCGGCCCCGTCCTCCTCCCTCCTGCCCACTTCCACCCTTCCCTACCCCACATCTTCTCCTGTGCTGCTCCAGCTCACTATCCCAGCTGAAAATTAAAACAGCAGGGAGCTGCTGCTGGGCCAGCGGGCTGAGCAGGCTTGTGGCAGGTCTGGCTGGCAAGAAGGAGGGGTGCCCGGGCAAGGAGGGAACGGGGCAGCTCCCCTCGTGGTGGCAGCAGCCTGTCCCCAGGCCCTGGGGTGTTCCCATGTATTCAGAAGCTACGATCACCCGGGATATGCTGCTAAGGGTTTCCCAAGGGTGGCTCCTCCAAAGCTGGCCATGCAAGTGCAGGAGCCACCTCTAAAAGTGCTGACGAGGCTCCGGCACCGTGTGGGGCTGCCCTGCAGTCTCCAGCACAGCCGGAGAGGGACATCATCTCCTGCTTGCAGTGAGCTCCTCTCCGCCACAAGATCCCAGCAGTGAGATGCATGATGTGCGTCTGCTGGATGCTTTTGGGAAAGAGCGATTCAAACAGCCTGGGCTGTCCCAGAGGACACCCCTGCAGGGTGAACGATGGCCCCTTGGAGGGACTGTGGTTAAATCTCTGCCCAATAGCTCTTCCCAAAACTAGTTGCTAGTACCAGTGAGCCACAACACAGCTGCGTTTACTAACGGGCAAGCACTGGCCCCCCACAACGCATGGCCAGCCACACCTCGACACATTACAGTACCGCAGGGGGTGTAGTCCAGCATGAGGGCCAGCGTGGGTGATGCCTTGCAGCATCCCACACTGGCACAGGACGCTGCAGGGCAGTGCTGCAGCCAGGGCATCCTTCCACCTGTAAAGCTTTGCCGTCTGCCAGGCACCTCTCCCAGCACCAGGACTGCCCAGAAGCGGACATGCCGCCTCCGGAGCTAGTGGGACACACAGACTGGGTTGTCATATGCTGGAGGAGTGAGCAGGGAGCAGCTCATCTTCCCTGCCTTAATTCGCTGTTAATCCGTCCCTTTCCTCCAGCACAGCCCTGCTCGGGATGCCCTTGTGATGTGGCACTGCTCAGCTCCGGCCCTGCTGCCAAAGGGTGCCAGTGCCGGGAGAGCCGCACTGCCGGCCAGAGGCACCGGGAGCTGCAGAAGGAGCCCCCTGTCCTCCTCGGCACTGCGGAGGCGGGCTGCCATTCTGCTCCTTTTTTGGCCTTATTAGAGATGGACGTGGGAAAGGGAGTTTGGAGGCGAGGGGAAAGCAGAACCCGAGCCCTGGGCTGTGTCCCCAGACCAGCCACAGCCACCAGCTCTGAAGCCGGCAAGCAGGTTTCGTGTGCGGATGGGAAGGAGCAGGGCAGCATCAGGGAGCCAGAGCTAAGTGTGCAGCAACCCCTGGGAGGGAGAGTTCATCCCAGCCCTCCCTCAGCTCCCGCGGCACACCGGGGACACGAGCAGGCCCACGCGCAGCTGTGGGGCTCGGCTGCAAGTTCGGCAGACAGTTTCTGGGCTAGCTCCTTCCCACCAAGTTTAGGGGACAAGGACCTCACCGTGCCCATGTGGCACATGCAAACCCTTCCAAAGCACAACTTCTGGGGCCACCATGAGAAGACCGTGCACAGACACCATCACCACGCAAAAGACCCATCACCCAGCACCCTTCTGATGCCTGGGGAGGCTGGGAAACAGGACCATGGAGCAGAAGGCCTTCATGGCCCCGGGCCACCAGCATAACATGCCCTGGGCTGGGTTTGATATTTTCCCAGGAGAATTAAGGGGCTCACCTCAGCAGGGGAATCTGGCCGCAGCGCCTCAGAGGGGGAGGTGACCGCAAACTCCTCCTACAGCCGCACAGAGCCTGCCAGTGACGAGAGGAAAAAAATTCAAGTGACTAAAGAAACCCAACCATCTTTGGTCAGCAGCGGTGGTTGTTGACACTTGAGGATGTTCCGCTCCAAAGAATGCTGCTTTGGCCGCCGCCTTCTCCTACACATCCATGTTTTAGAGCCTCCCCTGGCTTTTATCACAGTCGTAACTTTTTGTACCAAAAGGGCATGCAGGGAGGGAAGCCAAGAGGACCTCAGGTTTTCATGGGCCTAAACAAAACACAACGTTCCTCTGTGTTTAAGACTGAGGGAAATGAGCTAAATAAAGCTTTTCTGCCTTACAACATCTTATTGCTTGAAGTTGCTCACAGGTCACTGGGGAGATCTCTGGAGCATCACGCATGCATCTGGATCTTGTCTCTGGCCATCAGCAAAAAGACTTGGGGGAAAAGCAGATGCTCCCGACAGGAACAGCTCTCACAGAGCAGGAGGCGGGTGAAGCCAAAGGCGGCAGGATCTGCTCTTGCAGCACTGCCATCCCGGGGAAGCCGGGATGTCCCAGCTCCAAGTCATCGCAGACAGTTACCGAGAGCTTTGCCCAAGGCCGATCCTCGCCTCCCCTGGCTGGGACATCCCTGCCGGGCCGCGGAGAGAGGCTCTCCCCACCCGCCCGGGCAGAGGGGTGCCTGGCAGGGACGCACCGGGGCCTCTCCTACCGCTGTGTCGCCCCCCCCCCCCCCCGGGCGC